GGTGGATTGATTCAGTGACTGGGATAATTGGGATGGGAGTGTCAGAGACAGTGCGATTGGCACAGGACAGAGCGGAGTTTAGGGCTGTTGTACATAGGATCGCTATGAGTCACAGGCGACTTGACGGCACATAACAACAACAACAACAACATCCTACTTTCACATAGCAAACATGGAAACTGCACTGATTAGCACTGGGATCTCACGCTCTGGCCCACTGAAGTCAGACAGTGTTGAAAGATTCTACTGCTCACCTTCCACATTACTTACCTTTAGCTCATTTCTGTTTCTGCGAATTAAAATCAGATCCAACGTGTTGCCACTGAGCTGATGCCGCCTCACAGCAGCGCTCTAACACAAGGCAGAGCTGCCCCGGTGGCTCTCGATTCTTTTCATAGGCACAGCCTGTCACCTCTTTCTCCCGTGCAGTGGATGACGGATTCTCATCCCTGACCTTTCATTTAACAACTGAGCACTTAATCACTGTGCCACCAGGGGATCCCTTATGTGGATTTTAATCCATTACATTTATGTCTACTTCCTGGTTAAAAAAAAAAAGTCTCCAGAGACACTGTTCAAACACATTTTGTTTCTGTAGGTTACCAGAAGATCAAAACAAGAAACTAGGGCATTAACTTTCTTTTTTCCCAAGCTGCCATAGTATAACAAACATTCTTTAGCTTCAGTATAATTGCTTCAAAATGGGTACCGTCCTGGTTACCGTAAAGGATTGGCTGGGGAGCAAAGAGCAGAGCCTAAGCTAAGTATCTGTTTTTTAAATATTGAGATCTTTTGAATTCATGTATAAGCTAGTTAAATAGTGGAAGATGGTATTGTCAACTTTAATCTATATCAAAATAAACGAACATAAAGATACAAAAGTTACCTCTAAGGATATATACAATCTTCATGATACTTAAAAGAAAAAAAAGATACAGGAGATTGTTCTGAAAACTGAAAAGCATCATATTAAGATACAATTGCACCCGTTTCGCCATAAGTCACTGCATTAAGGTATGTTCACCATTGTCGTCTGACTGACCTGAGTGCTGGTACGGACTCTCCGGCTCAGAAGAACTGCCCGGGGAATGTGGGTAGCTGGCGGTGCACGGGGACTGGGAGAAAGTGTGCCCGGGCGAGGGCGGATAGGCGGAGCACGGAGGATGCTGGAAGGAGTCCGGGTAGGTGGCATTTTGGGGCATGAGCGGTTCACTGTGCAGAGAGGCGCTGCGGAACTTGGCCAGCAGGCTGAGCTGGGGGTTGTATTCACTGTGTCTCGGCACCAGCACGGGAGGCAGCACTGAGAAGAGGAAGCAACAAGGGGGGTTAGGACTGAATGTCGCTCCGCGGTCCACGGGAGAGCAGAGAGCCGCTGTCTCTGCCCAGAATTTGAAGCGAAAAATCTCTTCCTTTGGGAGCTGGCTCCTCCATTCATGTGCTTTAAGTAAAATGGTCAGTTAATGTCTTATTTCCACTCAAGAACTGAGCATGTCAGCAGGGCCAACGGGCATTGTCCCTGCAAG